CGGGGTAGATCGAGATACAAAAAGCAACAGAGGGTCCTGTGGCACCTTTAAGACTAACAGAAGTATTGGGAGCATAAATGTAACAGAAGTATTGGGAGCTTACTTCTGTTAGTCTTAAAGGTGCCACAGGACCCTCTGTTGCTTTTTGTATCTCGATCTACCCCGATATAACACTGTCCTCGGGAGCCAATAAATCTTACCGTGTTATAGGTGAAACTGCATTATATTGAACTTGCTTCAATCTGCCGGAGTGTGCAGCCCTCTCTCCCCACCCCCCCGGAGCGCTGCTTTACCGCATTTTATCCGAATTCGTGTTATATCGGGTCATGTTATATCGGGGTAGATCGAGATACAAAAAGCAACAGAGGGTCCTGTGGCACCTTTAAGACTAACAGAAGTAAGCTCCCAATACTTCTGTTACATTTATGCTCCCAATACTTCTAGTTAGTCTTAAAGGTGCCACAGGACCCTCTGTTGCTTTTTACAGATTCAGACGAACATGGCTACCCCTCTGATACGAGATACAAAAGGAACACTTAAAGACAATAAAATCATTGCGGAGAAACTAAATGAATTCTTTGCCTCAGTCTTCATGGCTGAGGATGTTAGGAAGATTCCCAACCCTGAGCCGTCCTCTGTAGGTGACAAATCTGAGGAATTGTCACAGATTGAAGTGTCCCTAGAGGAGGTTTTGGAATTAATTGATAAAATTAACAGCAACAAGTCACCGGGACCAGATGGCATTCATCCAAGAGTTCTGAAAGAACTCAAATGTGAAATTGCGGAACTATTAACTATGGTTTGTAACCTGTCCTTTAAATCAGCTTCTGTACCCAATGACTGGAAGTTAGCTAATGTAACGCCAATATTTAAAAAGGGCTATAGTGGTGATCCCGGCAATTACAGACTGGTAAGTCTAACGTCCGTACCTGGCAAATTAGTTGAAACAATAGTAAAGAATAAAATTGTCGGACACATAGAAGAATATAAATTGTTGGGCAAAAGTCAACATGATTTCTGTAAAGGTAAATTATGTCTTACTAATCTATTAGAGTTCTTTGAAGGGGTCAACAAACATGTGGACAAGGGGGATCCAGTGGACATAGTGTACTTAGATTTCCAGAAAGCCTTTGACAAGGTCCCTCACCAACGGCTCTTATGTAAATTAAGTTGTCATGGGATAAAAGGGAAGATCCTTTCATGGATTGAGAACTGGTTAAAAGCCAGGGAACAAAGGGTAGGAATAAATGGTAAATTTTCAGAATGGACAGAGGTAACTAGTGGTGTTCCTCAAGGGTCAGTCCTAGGACCAATCCTATTCAACTCATTTATAGATAATCTGGAGAAAGGGGTAAACAGTGAGGTGGCAAAGTTTGCAGACAATATTAAACTGCTAAAGATAGTTAAGACCAAAGCAGACTGTGAAGAACTTCAAAAAGATCTCACAAAACTAAGTGATTGGGCAACAAAATGGCAAATGAAATTTAATGTGGATAAATGTAAAGTAAAGCACATGGGGAAAAAATAACCCCAACTATACATACAATATGATGGGGGCTAATTTAGCTACAACTAATCAAGAAAGCGATCTTGGAGTCATCATGGATAGTTCTTTGAAGACGACCACGCAATGTGCAGTGGCAGTCAAAAAAGCAAACAGGATGTTAGGAATCATTTAAAAAGGGATAGAGAATAAGACGGAGAATATCTTATTGCCCTTATATAAATCCATGGTATGCCCACATCTTAAATAGTGCATGCAGATGTGGCCTCCTCATCTCAAAAAAGATATACTGGCATTAGAAAAGGTTCAGAGAAGGGCAACTAAAATGATTAGGGGGTTGGAACGGGTCCCATATGAGAAGAGATTAAAGAGGCTAGGACTTTTCAGATTGGAAAAGAGGAGACCAAGGGGGAATATGATAAAGATATATAAATCATGAATGGTGTGGAGAAAGTGAATAAGGAAAAGTTATTTACTTGTTCCCATAATCTAAGAACTAGGGGTTACCAAATGAAATTAATGGGCAGCAGGTTTAAAACACACAGTGCACAGTCAACCTGTGGAACTCCTTGCCTGAGGAGGTTGTGAAGGCTAGGACCATAACAGGGTAACAGGGTTTAAAAGAGAACTAGATAAATTCATGGAGGTTAAGTCCATTAATGGCTATTAGCCAGGATGGGTAAGGAATGCTGTCCCTAACCTCTGTTTGTCAGAGGGTGGTGATGGATAGCAGGAGAGAGATCACTTGATCATTACCTGTTAGGTCCCTAGCCTCTGTTGGCCAGAATCTGGGAATGGGTCACAGGGGATGGATCACTTGATGATTATCTGTTCTGTTCATTCCCTCTGGGGCACCTGGCATTGGCCACTTTCGGTAGACAGGATACTGGACTGGATGGCCCTTTGGTCTGACCCAGTATGGCCATTCTTATTTTTCATGTTCTTTAATCATAAATTGAAAACCTCAAGTTTTGTCCGAAACCATTTCAGAGTGTCCTTATAAATTTAGAAACAGGAGTACACACACAAAAATTCCCAAACTGTGGGTATATCATAGTATCTATCAACAGGTGGGGCATGGTCCAAAAGTGGGTTACACCCATTGCCTGAAAGCTGCAAAATCCTTCATCAGTAGGACCCACCAGTAATCTAGGGAGAGAAAGGAAGAAGCAGCTCTCTCCTTTCTTCTTCCTAATGCTGTTGCCTGTGCCATGCTCCTTCATCTCTCACCCGCCAACCAATCCAAGAGTAGCTCCTCAACCTCCACACCTCTCCATTCCAGGGTAGGGAAAGGGAAAGTGATGCTTCAAGGGGTGGTGGGACCATCTGCTGAGCTTCCCAACATCCAGATCTGCATGCTTCACAGACTAGGGTAAGGAGGGAGAAGTTACCCCAGCTTGGGGGAATGAGCCCCTTCATTCCTAACCCTCATCAAGGCCCTCTTAACCCCAACACTTTTGGATCTCTAGCCCACAAAATTCTCCACAAACCAAATCCCATAACCATTTGCTGCAGGGGGTGTGGCCTCAACTGGAAAAGGCGTGGCCTCAACTAGAAGAGGCTGGGCCTTTAAATACCTAGGCTCTTTAAATCAAGATTTAAAGGCCCCGGGGCTCTGGCTGCGGCTGGGAGCCCAGGGGCCTTTAAATCACACCCGGAGCTACCAGCTGCAGAGGCAGCTGGGGGTCCCGGGGCTCAAGGGCAATTTAAAGGGCCCGGGGCTCTGGCCGCCGCTACCGCAGCGGAGCCCCTGGCCCTTTAAAGCGCTGCCCGAGCCCCACTGCCAGACCCCAGGGTATCTGTGGCAGGGCTCCGGCAGCGCTGTAAAGGAACTGGGGCTCCGGCTGCTGCGGGGAGCCCCGGGCCCTTTAAATCACCGCTGGAGCCCTGCCACCGCTACCGCTGGGCTCGGGCAGTGAGTTAAAGGGCCTGGGGCTCTGGCTGCTGTGGGGAGCCCCAGGCCCTTTAAATCACCAGCCTGGGGAAGCCGGTCTGGTCCGGCATGGCGTACTGGCTCTTGCCGGTATGCCTTACCGGACCAGACCAGCTTACTTTCACCTCTGGTTCCATGACACTATTTTGGCTCACTTGCCAAACAAGAATGACAACCATCGGTATATATTGTCTATAAAAATATGCTTCCCCAATAACCTCAAAATAATACTCTGTGTGATGTAACCTAAAGTTTTCAAATTATGTTTGCAGTGAAATCCATTCCTTTATTTTCGATTACATCACTTAGGATCCAGACTATGCCCTCCCCTACAGCCTTACCACCCTCTGTATTCTTTATTCATACACCCGCCTATACCCTATTAACTGCAGGGGCATTTATGTATTACAGAACCTTGTACTGTATCAAAAGCCATAACCTGAGACTGGTTTCTGTGGCAGGATACAACTTATTTGTTTCCTAATGTTTTGCAGGTGCTACTTTGGTTTCAATAGAAGATTTAGCTGAATCCAAATTTCTAGCAGACATTATAGAGCCACATAAAGGAGAGACAAGTGGGTTTTGGACAGGAATATATAGAAACGTTGATGGTAATTATTTTAGTTTTGATATTTAATCATATAAATTCTGTATTCAATAGACTGAAAGCTGATTAAAATATGTCATAACTTAGGCTGTAATGAATAGAAAATAGAAATTCATCTGGAAAGATTACTAAGCAGTAACAAAAAAAAATTAGATCTATGGTATCTTAATCTGAAAATCTTACTTGGAGTTTTTGGTTTCATCTAGCAAAAGTATGACCCGAGAAATATTGTAAAAGAGAGAGATTTCTGACTCTTCAGTTTGTTTTCAGTTTTAGGGCCCAAGCATGTAATAAGATCCAAATGGGTGAACCCTTATGCCTGCATGGAGACCTAAGGAATTCAGTGGCCTTATGCTTATTAGCTACGTTTTGTAATAAGCGTCTGAACAGCGTAACAGGATAGATTCTCGTACACCTCCTGAGATGCACAACACAGTAGGTGCAGTTCATGGGAAGAGGGGACAAAGGTGCCTTTGCACTGCCCATATTCTTGGCTGTTATGGGGGCCAAAATGAGAGCTGTCCATAGAGGTCTCTCGCAGATGCCTATGGACTGTACTGCAGTCCAGAATTCACATAGCACCAAGTGCTGTGGCATGCCCTCTCCCATCCCTTTGAATATCTCCTTATTCTCCCATCACTACCTCCACCATGGCCCCTACTGCTGGCCTGCAAGGGGACAGCATATCACATCTTGCATCGCCCTACACTGCTCCTGTGCCAGGGAAATTCTCCCCATCCTCTTGCAGCTCCTTTACACCTCACTTGACTCGTGTGCAAGGAGCAGAGCCAGGGCCAAATTTGGCCCCATAGAGTCTTTTTTCTTGCTGTCCTGACCTGTGCCTAAGTTCAGAAAACAATGTGAACCTGGCTAGAGGATGTCTTCTTTCCGCAGCTGCTGACTAGTTAATCAGTACTGGTCATAAGCTATAAGGAAAGAATTAGATTTACGGTTACCAGGAAAACAGGATTTTTGGAGAACAAAGAAAGAGAACGTTGGAATGGAAGGGAGCAAAATTAGCCTCAGTCTAATGTAATCAGAAGGTTTTCTCTCCCCTCCCCCCCAATACTTCCAGTATCTTTAAGATCTTTGAGAAACTATGATGAAAATTTTCAAACCAGGGTACCCAAAGTGAAGTATGTGTTTATATTTAAGCACTTCAGCAAAATCAGCTTTCTTTTCAGTGGGAGTTACCGACATATGACTTTAGGTACTTAAATAAAAGTTGCCTGACTTTGTGGATTTAGGTGCCTAATCCCCAAGTTTGAAACTTTTGGCCCATATACCTGAGAAATATGGGCTTATATCATGGAAAACTAGGAAAATGTAATTCTCCATATCTAAGAATCATAATTTGCAAAGATAAAGGCAGTATTTCCCTTGGAAAAGAATAAAGGGAAGTAAAAATCTATTTGCATGTGATGAAATAAGCACCACGAAGATTTTTTTAAATTTTCCTTTTAGAAACTAAGAAAATTAAATATAAATTCAGACTGACACATATTAACCAAGATTGTCTATAGTGAGTTATCTCTACCCTTTTAATGCATTTTGTCATTAGGGTTGTGGTTATGGCTAGACAAAACTGCAGTAGATTTTGTCAACTGGAATAAAGGACAGCCTTCAAGTAATCAGTTTGAGTACTGTGTGGAAATGTCTGCATCCTCTGGGTACTGGAATACCATTCCCTGCTCTTCCCAAAAGGGGTCCATTTGTAAGAAACCAAAGAGTAAGTGATATGTTAAATCCTATGATTTGATGATGATGGTTTTATTTTAGTAGTAATGCCAAAGTACATATACTACAAAATACATACTGTTTGTGCTGTGTGAAGTACAGTGTGTCCACATTTCTCCTTTGCTGTTTGTGATTACAACATAAAGCCAAAAATGTCTGAACATTCACATAAGGTAAATACCACAGATTAAAGGCCCTACTCACAAATATCATGTGTAAATATAATCTAGAGCCAGTTTTTCTGCATTTCACATTCAAATATCGAAAACCTCAGCTCATGCTCTGTGACTCTGTCCATACTTAGAATGCAAGGGTACAATTTGCTCTAACATGCTGAGGTGGTAAATGGGAGGGGAAAGCAAAATTTAAGAAAGAGCAAGTAACAAAATGTATATGAGATTTTAAAAAAATATTCTAAGTTTTACAAAGTTTAATGAGCCAGTTGAGTATCCCGCCCCAATTCTTGCGCAAATTTAATGTATGCCTCATATGGCTTACCCAAAACTAACTGCATGTAACTTCACTGGCTTTCCTTCCAGGCTTTCCTTCCACCTACAGCTGTAGATGTTCCGATATCTTATTTATTACCTAGTATCAGTGACTACTGCATAGGCACATAAGTAATATCAAGATTTGGGTACCCTCCATGATGTACTTCATACAGTTTCAGACTTTCCCACATAGTTGCACTCTGGGAGCACAGACCAAAGAATGTTCAAATAATAACTCAGGATGTTACTGAATTTGAAAATTCTTTAAACGTTTCTGCATTTTTTTCTTTCCTTTTCCAACCTCCTTTAATTTTTTTTTGCCTTTGGAGAACAAGAATTGCATTTAAGTGATTTTCTTTTCTTCCTCTTGCCATGTGAAGATACATGGTGTACTGTGTTCCAGGGGTGGGGAGGAAGGCCAATTCCGGTTAAGCAATCACTAAACTGGATATTCATCCAGAACTCAAATAGAAATCTTTTAAAAGCTAGAAAAAATGTTTTGGTTAGCATTTATCTTATTTCTGTGCACCATCTGCCTTTGTCAGGAAGCAGATATATTGAAATATCATGAGCTATGCTACTCTTGTGGTATTTCTGACTCAACTCAAACAGCAAGTTCTAGAAATATGATACAAAAGCTTGATTTCCTGTCCAATTTTGCAACCTACACAGACTGGTATAAGTTCTACATTTTGTGAGGTTCACCTATTGTTAGTCTCTTCTCCTAAGTGGGTGCAATTGCCCCAGACATCAGCTTTTCATGCAAGTGATAGCATTAGGGCCTTCCAGATGAGTGAGTGCTTGATTTGAGACAATTCTCCTATATCTTAGATCATGAGTTCATAGCATTATAGACCAATAAAGGCTTACGTTTTGTTGCCAAATATATTGGAAAGTACTAAGTCAGTGCTGACACCTGGTTAGTACTTGTGGGACTGATTGTCTCCAGCCCCTATGTGGAAGCACAATGTGGGGTGAACGTGCAAGGAGCCTTCCTAACTTTTTGTTCCCCAAAACAGGGCCCAGCCACAACTGAGACTAGTGTGACCAGATGTCCTGATTTTATAGGGACAGTCCCGATTTTGGGGTCTTTTTCTTACATAGGCTCCTATTACTCCCCACCCCCATCCCGATTTTTTACATTTGGTGTCTGGTCACCCTAACTGAGACAGAAAGGGAGCATAGCTGTGGTCACATGGTGGTATAGTAGGCACATTCCCTCTGCTCTCCTGTATGCACTGGAAGGCACTATGCCTCTCTCCAGCATGACGTTTGGGGTGCTCCTGTTGGAGATGTGCAAGTCTGTATTGCCTCCTGCTCAGGACTGTGTCTGAAAGATACAGTCTGCCTTTTAATAGCAGTGAAATCCCATTGCCCATATTTGAAATCTGCACTTGAGTACATAATCATCCAGTTGCCATTTAAGTATTGGTAAGTGGTATTAATTTTAGAAGCCTTGCAGACAGCTCACTCATTGTACAGCACAGAGAAATAGCATAAGACAACTGAGCTGGTACAAATCAAGTGTTTGAGAACTGAACCCTGTAGATGCAGAATATATGAGCTTCAAATACTGGAGCATGTTAAACTAAAACCTACTATGTCTTGAATAGGCTGTGTACAGTACAGAAAATTAGGGCATTTTTTCATGATTTGAACATGTTAGGCCAGATTCTCTCCTGTACTGAGATCTCTTCAGTACAAGAGATTTGGGGCCATCAGGGAGCCAGCTATGCCAGGGCTGAGTGGGCAGTTGGTATAGGAGCCAGCTCTGGAGTCTTTGCATCAGCAGAGCCCTCCCACAGAGAGAATTCTCAGCTAGGAAACCGTGGCCAGATCTAGTATCTTTGCACTGCCTGAGAGGTACAACAGGGAAAGAATAGTGGGCGTGGGAGACTGGCCATTCTTTCAGAGTGGCAGCCATGTTAGTCTGTATCAGCAAAAACAACGAGGAGTACTTGTGGCACCTTAGACACTAACAGATTTATTTGGGCATAAACTTTCGTGGGCTAAAACCCACTTCATCAGATGCATCTTATGCCCAAATAAATTTGTTAGTCTCTAAGGTGCCACAAGTACTCCTCGTTGTTTTTGGCCATTCTTTGTGGATTATCATTAAATGAGCTATATAACATGACTGGTGCATCACACGTTTTAAGTAATTCCTAGACCTTTTTGGCAGAATGACAATTGCAAATATCTGTGTTCACATTAGGCCATTAGGCCACATTAGGTCATTAGGCACATGTTTCACTGTGAGCATGTGAGTAATGCCATTGAAGTCAATGGGACTACTCACATGCTTAAGTACCTTCATGAATCAGGGTCTCGCTGTATTTGGACGTTATTTGATTATTAATCAAGAAACAAGTACAGTAAGAAATTTTATTCACTGAAGTGTTTGGGTTCTGCTACAATGAATGTCAAGTTAAAGTGGGTATCACATTTTTCAGCTTTGTTAGTTTCATTTAGCAAATGCATCTACAATAAATGAATAAAGCGGTATGACTAAAGCAGTAATTGTTTGTACAGTGTGTGCTTCACCGCATATATCATTTTAAGGGTAAAATGCAGATGTTTGCAGATTTTGACTAAATGTGGGGTTATTTGTTTTTGTTTTTGCAAGTGATTGAAGCTCATCCAAGTGAGAATCTAATAATTAAGAAAGGTAGGACTATTTTCCTCACAAATAACTTCAAAGATAAATTCACATAAGTTCATAACTGTTATTTATTGTGTTTTCTGACATAATTACTATAAAATGCATGTCGGTGTCCTAAAATATCCATATATCTCATTCATGCCCAAGGGCAGGACTCTCTCCCTCCTTAAGTGGGAGTGAGTTTTGAATAACATTGAGGGGTAAGGTTATTCTTTTTCCATATTCTCCTTTCCATGGTGTCACTTCTTTACAGTCAAAAAATATCTCTGCAAACTGACAATATATTCAAACATAAAATACTGCCTTTCTGCTCCCCTGATCCTGGGCCAGCCAGGGGCTAAATGACCCTCAGATTACCCTTAGGCTATAGGCACCTATAAGGACTGTGGCACAGCCTGGGGATCAAGGAAAGTTCCAGGTGCTCTGCCCTTCAGCCTGCCCTCTCCCCTCCCCAATATGCCCCTATGTGGAGGCCTCACAGGTGTAAATCCGCGATTTGACCAAATGCTCCCTACTCTCTGAGCTACACTCAACATAGGACTGTAGGTGGGGTCAAGGGGGTGGGGGAAGGAAGGTGACTTTAAGTTCATCCCCAGCATGACTTAGAGCTACCTATGACCCCATGAGGCTGTTGTGCCATCTCAGGATAGCTGAAGTGCATTGGCACCCTGACTGTTTCCTCTTTATCTCAGCCATTTTCTCCATGCTCAGGGATGGGAAGGGATTGACCTAGAGACAGTATGCTAGACTGAGAAAATTCTAGGCTGTGGAAATCATCAGTAGACTAGCTGAGCTAGCTTTCTGGTCTTTTTCTGCTGCCTGAACAGTGCACAGGAGTCATAGGATGGTTGAGGGTTCTTCGAAAAGCAATTAACTCCTGATTTACATCAGTGTGAGTGAGAAGAGACTCAAGCCAATGTTTTTTCTCTAGTCTGCTGCCTAATATCTATCATAACAATTGTCTCTCTAGTAATTATTTTTCATTTATTTTCAGAAGCACCTGCCCATAGGACAGTTTGGATTCTAATTATTCTGGTCCTTATTCTAGTAGGAGCAGGACTCACTGCCTATTTCTTATTCAGGAAAAAAAGACAAAATAAACTACAAACAGATGCCAGCTTCAATAATGTGCTATTAGAACACAGAGATACTGTAACCGGAGAGAGTGATACAAAGGATTCTGTGGACAAGAAAGATCAAAATGAACACACTGTCATCTAGTGTGATAAAATAACTGAATTGCATGTCTGATTTTGAGAAAAAATGATGTAATTGGAATGAATGAAATCTTAACCAAATTTGCATTCTCCTAGTACACTGTTTTGAGCTCTGCATGTATACCTACTAGTAGAGGCAATTATCTCTTTTATAATGTTGAAAATGTCCTAGAACAATTTCACAGGAGGAGACTTGAACAGCGTGGCTAACTAACAAGTGTTGCAAATAGACAACTGAAGAAAACTAAAATGAAACATGTAGCAGTGTGAATTAACACTCAGGCATCTTTGGGTTTTAGAGTCTTGCATTGCCATAACCCATAAAGTGTCGAGACAGCTGAATAGTGAGAATTGTCTCAGCAAAGCAGGTATCCTATAAATATCACTCAAGAGATCCAGCTGTTTAGACTATACATGAGTTCAACATTTAAAAGACTGTAGTGTTATTTCAGTCAAGATAACTTTGATATGTATAATTTATAATTATATAATATATATAAATTAGATATACAAAATAGATCACAATAATCTTACTTTTACACAAATTGTTTTACCCACTTTATTAGTTCAGTATTATAATCTTAGCTTGTGACTTTGTAATACGATTTCTGTAAGCTAATCATGTGTGGATTACAATATTTTTATCACAATATGTGAATAGATGAAAGTCAAATGTAAATGGTTTCCCCTCATTCAGACCTTCAGTTTGAAGTTTTGTAAAATAAATAAGGCTGTTTATTTGGCTACAGGCTTGCATTTTTATAAGATTATATGACTATGAATGTTTTTGTATCAGCTTCAAATTAACAACATTAAATATGTAAACAAAAGGATCTGTTACTTAGATAAGCAATGATGAGCTTAGCATGCAGAGATGCTGATCAAGTGAAGCATTTACTTGTGAGATGGATTGGCTAAGACCATGGGGGAACAATAAAGTATGTACAACATGCCTGTCTAAAAGAGAAATAAACAGTAGGCAGATGCAAAATAAAGCTGTCTGTGCCCATTTTTATTTCAGTTTGATGTGGGTTGTGCATTTCATTATCGCGCCCTCCATGACTTTCTTTGGAAACTGTAACAATGCTTGAATTGAGATGCTCTGGACCATATGACATACCAACATTTCTTGGTAGCATTCCACCTGACAGCCATACTAGACTCTCTTACCTCTCTATAAATCTTAGGACATCTGTGCCAGATTGCAGAAAGGAACAAGGAACAAGAGAGAGCCAGGAAATCAAGTGTTCTGAGGAGAAAAACCTGCAAAACCGAACCCTCCTCAAAGCAGAGCCCCTGCTCTGGAACTCCTTTCCTCTGCAATCCCTCTGAGCCAATGTCTGGCTACTTTTAAAATATGGTTCACGATACTCCTTTATTTGGCTTTTTCCAAATAATGACGTTTTACTTAGGGTCCTTCATTGTTTGGTGGCTGGGGAGGGGGCTTAGGGGAGAGTCAGTTTCTGTCTCTTTAAGGACCGGGTGAAAGGGTGTGTTTTATTTTATTTTGTGGTGGCACCTGGGTGACATGATGGTAGGTACCTAAGATAACCCACATTCTAAATAGGTAAAGGCAGGTTTCTACGTTTCAAAAACGGGCAGTTATGTTTTTGAGGTGAAAAAGAACATGATTTTTAATCTGGGTTTTCTATGGCAGGCAAAGTCAAAGGCCAGATCCTCATGTCACCAGGGTTTGAATCCCCTTCCTCTTGTTTAAAGGAGGTTTGTCTAATGAAGTTTTGATCCAGATACACGAACAAAACAAAGACAAAGGTGCTCAAAAACACACAAGTAGTTTAATGTCCCATAATGAAGAAACAGTAACTTACATAAGAAATAGAGAAAAAGGAAGCAGCACTTTTAAGTTCTTATGTAAGTTTATAATACAGAGAGCTGTTAGCAAGACTAGTGGAAACAGGAGCTAGAAATGCTGCACCATCTGTTTCCTATCAAAACCAATAAGAATATAAGAATGGCCCTACTGGGTCAGACCAAACGTCCAGCTAGCCAAGTATCCTGTCTTCTGACAGTGGCCAGTGACAGGTGCCCCAGAGGGAATTAACAGAACAGGCAATCATC